CTGCAGCGACACCCAGTCAAAATGGGAGTTCATATCAGACTCCAAGATGCATCTGTCAACCAAGATGTCCAGTGATGGCTGCAGCCTATGCTTGGATGTTGACCCCGATGGCATCAGCATCATCACGAATCCATGCAGGTGCTTGACGAATGATCAAACATGCAATCCAGAGAGCCAGTGGTTCAAGATGATAAGCAGCACGAGGAAGACTGCGAGCAAGAACTCCATTCTGCGGTTGCCTTCGCGACCTGAAATTTGGAGGTTCGTGAGGAATCGAGCCCTTGAATCCTCCGTGTGATGATTCCTTTGACTTGTGGCTGCAAGTTTCTCATGTACGGGAGCTCTGTTCCGACCAAATGTCCAAAAATAATCTGAAATAAGATTTTTTTTGTGCTTCTCTATATGCTATCCAGAATGAACACCTACCATCCCGACATCAACCTCGACAATGATGATATCAAACATCGAGTCGCTTTTGTCTGTCTCTGCGTTTGTTTATGCGTTCCTTCTCATGAATCTGTCGGTCGACGTTGAGGCAGAGTCCTCCCAAGTTTGAAAGAACTGAATGATTCTTTTAGCAACATTGTTTTAAGAAACACTTTATATTTTTAGTTGGAAAGAAAACTACCATTGTTTGTCTTATCATGATGAGGGCCTAATCTGATTAAGAAACCAAAAACATGTTTTTATAAACATCGACCCGCACTGGATTCCCGTCAAAAGAATCAGCGAGTTTCCTTTTAACAGCCTCTTTTTTAATATTTCCAACAAAATGGAAGTTATTTCCACCGAAAGGGTTTAGCAGCTTTTTTTTGTTATTTCCAACAAAATGGACGATGACTTAATTTGATGGGAGTTTGACTTGTTGATTTTTTTGTTATTTCAATATGCCACTTTAGGAAAGTGGAACATTACTTACCAACTTTCAGGTCTCAAAAGGATTTGACACGATTGATGATTTTATTTAATTTATTTTTTTAAACGATAAATTTTTCTCTCAACTTTCTATAAAGAAACTCTCCTAGAATTTACTAAAATCTTATCGATGTATATGTCGATAAATTTTAGTTGCATATTCAATAGACTAGTTACTAATATAACTATTGAAATTGTATTAACTAAATAAATAATTAAGTTGTTCATCAGACAAAATTAAAAGATTAATCCAAATAATATAATTATCAAATAGTAATATATATATATATATATATTTATTTCTCTTCTTTTTTGTATTCACTAAGTTTCGGTGATTGGTTTTGATATTTTTTGTTTTGGTTACAATTAATATTACTAACTAAAATATCAACCAACAAATAATCATTTTATTATTCGTAATAGATATTAGAAAGAAACTCAAGTTCTTCGCTAGTATTATCTTGAAAATATATTTTTATTTTTCAGATATATAAGTATAAAATATTATAAAAAAACATAAGTTAAATTATTAAATATTACATGTAACAAAAGGAGCATTATAACTCCATGGTTAGACCCACCTAAAATGGCAACATAATGATAGTTTTTCAAGAGATATAGTTAAGGTGCATATTATAGAGTATATTAGATGTGGATTGTTCGTTTAAAATTAATTCAATGAATTTTAAAAAAATAATATTCTATGTCAATGACATTTGCCATGGGTGGCTAGTGTTGGTAATTACACCTTCTAAGCACCCAGTTCAATTTATTTTCTCAAATGTAAATTGATCTCATAAAATTTTAGAAGGAACCCTTATAAGATTTACTGAGATCTCATCATCTTTCAAGACCCTTAGTTGTATCTTCGTTGGACTAGGCAATAAATATTTCTATATTTAGGATATTGGAGATACTTCATGGACTATAGAGAAAATTAAAAAAAAAGTCCTATTATTTGCAGCAAACATAAGAAAAAAAAACTTAAGTCCTTCCCTCATATTATCTTAGAAACACATTTCATTTTTTTTTGATACATAGTACCAAATATCATAAAAAAGGCTAAAATATAAAAATATTATAATATGCATGGATTTGAATAATATGACCAAGCAGCATGACCTAACCTTGCAACTCGTGGTTGTTCTTCAAGAGATATCCTTACACTACTTGATTTATTCAGAGGAGACTAGTCGAGGATTATTCAATTAAAATGTATTGAATAGATTTTGATAATATAACATTATATAGTAATAACCTAGATCATGGGTGACTGGTGTTAGTAATTTTATGTACCATAATCACTTTATTCAATCTATATTTGAAATGATAAATTTTTCTTTCAACTTTCTAGAAGGAACCCCTCCAATGATTTACTAAAATCTCATCAATCTTGATAAATTTTAGTCACATATTCACTATATTAGTTACTAATATAGCTAATAAAATTGTATTAACTAAATAAATAATTAAGTTGTTATCAAACACAATTAAAAGACTAATCCAAATAACATAATTATCAAATAGTAATATTTGTTTCTCTTCTTTTTTGTATTCTCTAAGTTTGATGATTGGTCTTGATTTTTTTATTTTGATTACAACTAATACCACCAAATAAAATTTCAAACAATGACTAGTTATTTTACCATTCGACACAAGAAGGAAACTCAAGTTCTTCTCTCATATTACCTTGGAAACATATTTTATTTTTTTATATACCTAAATATAAAATATTATAAAAAACATAAGCTGAAGTATCAAATAATATAATATGCAATAAATAGAGCATTATAACTCTATGGTTGGACCCAACTAAAATGATAACCCACTGGTAGTTTTTTAAGAGACATAGTTAAGTTGCATATCTTATACATATTATATTAGATGTGGATCATCCGTTTGAATTAGTTCAATGAATTTTGATAAAGTAATATTCTATATCAATGATATTTGCCATTGGTGGCTAGTGTTGGTAATTACACCTTCCGAGATCACCCAATTTAATTCATTTTCTCAAGTGCAAATTGATCTCGCGAGAACCCCTCTTAAGATTCACTAAGATTTCATTATCTTCCATAAACCTTAATTGCATTTTTATTGAACTAGGCAATAAATATTTCTATATTTGGGGTGTTGGAGATACTTTATGGACTATAGAGAAAACAAAAAAAAAGTTCTATTATTTACCGCAAACACAAGAAACAAAACTGAAGTCTTGCCCTTATATTATCTTAGAAATATATTTCATTTTATTTTTTTATACCAAGTACCAAATATTATATAAAAAAGAAGTTAAAATATTACATATTATAACATGCATGGATTTGAATAATATGACCAGGTGGCATGACCTAATGTTGTAACTCATTGTTGTTCTTCAATAGACATCCTTATACCACTTGGCTTATGCAGACTAATTGAGTATTGTTTAATTAAAATATGTTGAATGAATTATGATAATATGATATTCTATATCAATAACCTAAATCATGAGTGGCCGTACCATGATCACTTTATTCAATCTATTTTTTTAAATGATAAAATTTTCTCTCAATTTTCTAGAAGGAACCTCTCTTAGGATTTACTAAAATCTCATCAATTTTAATAAACTTTAGTTGCATATTCACTATACTAGTTACTAATATAACTAATGAAATTATATTAACTAAATAAATAATTAAGCTATTCATCAAACAAAATTTAAAAACTAATCCAAATAATATAATTATCAAATAGTAATGTATGTTTCTCTTCCTTTTTGTATTCTCTAAGTTTTAGTGATTGGTTCTGATGTTTTTTGTTTTAGTTACAATTAATACCACAAAGTAAAATTTCAAACAATAAATAGTCATTTTATTATTTGTAATAGACACAAGAAAGAAACTCAAGTTCTTCCCTCATATTATCTTGAAAGTATATTTTATTTTTTAAATACCTAAGTACAAAATATTATAAGAAACATAAGCTAAAATATCAAATATTACAATATGCAACAAATGGAGCATTATAACTTCATGGTTAGACCCAACTAAAATGACAACCAAATAGTAGTTTTTCAAAAGACATAGTTAAGCTGCTTATACGGAGTATATGATCATCAATTGGTTTTAATTTAGTGAATTTTGATAAAGTAAAATTCTATATCAATGATATTTGTTATTATTAGCTAGTGTTGGTAATTACACCTACCAAATTTACATCATGAGTGGATTTTATTACAGTAGTAATATAATTAATGAAATTATTTTAACTAACCAAATAATTAAGCTGCTCATCAGATTAAGTCAAAAGACTGATGCAAACAATATAATCATTAAATAATAACATATTTTCCTCTTCTATTATACATTCCCTAAGTTTTGATGATTGGTCATGTGTTTTTTGTTTTGGTTACAACGAATAAAATATGTAAACCTTTCATTTGTTTTGGTTACCGCCTATAAATACCATAAGTAAAATTTCTAGCAGTAAATAAGACCTATTATTTGTAGCAAATACAAGACAGAAAAATTCAAGTCCTTCCCTATTATTATCTTAGAAACACATTTCATTTTTTTTTTTCTGATGCCTAATACAAAATATTATAACAAAAAAAAGTGTTAAAATATTAAATATTATAACATGTAGGGAATTGAACATATGATCTGGTGATATGACCTAACCTACTCATGGTTGTTCTTCAAGAGACATCCTTACAAGTAACAAAGCATACTAGTAAAGAATTATTCATTTAAAAATTATTGAATGGATCTTGATAATGCAAAATTCTATATTAATAACATAAATCATGGGTGGCTAGTATTAGTAATTTTTAATGCCATGATCACTTTATTCAATTTATTTTTTTAAATGATAAAATTTTCTCCCAACTTTTTAGATGAACCCCTCATAGGATTCATGAAAATCTCATCATTTTTTATAAAGCATCTTCACAAGATTAGTTATTAATATAACTAATGAAATTATATTAACTAAGTAAATAATTAAGTTACTCACAAAATTAAAAGACTAATCCAAGTAATATAATTATCAAATAATAATATATGTCTCTCTTCTTTTTTGTATTCTCTATGTATAGGTGAATGATATAGATGTTTTTCGGTTTAGTTATAGCTAATATTATCAAGTAAAATTTCAAGCAACCAATAGTCATTATATTATTCATAATAGACACAAGAAAGAAACTCAAGTTCTTATCTCATATTATCATGTAAATATATTTTATTTTTCTAATGCCTAAGTATGAAATATTGTAAGAAACATAAGCTAAAATATCAAATATTACAATATGCAATAGAGCATTATAATTCTACTCCAGGGTTAGACTCAACTAAAATGACAACCCAATAATAGTTTTTCAAGAGACATAGTTAAGTCGCATGAGTATATTAGATGTGGATTGTCAATTTGAAATTAATTTAAAATTTTTTGATAAAATAAAATTCTATATCAATGACACTTGCCATGGGTGGCTAGTGTTGGTTATTA